GTGTTAGCAAGACTAAAGCACCAGGAATGCTTGTCTGCTGATCAGAGTGTAAATTTATACAACCACTTTGGAAAACAGTTTTGCATTATTTATTGAAGATAAAGAACAAATACCCCATATCTAAGAGATTCCATTTCTAAGTATATATACTAGAGAGAATTAACTTAAAATATGTTCATAGCAGCTATATGTAGTTGGGTAGGCTAAACTGTGGTAACAAATAGAAAAAATAGCAACGGCTTAAGGAGCAAGAAGTTTCTTCCAAGATCACCTTGAGTATTAAAATAACACAGAGGTTAGCAAACTTTATTCTTGGCCTAATCTGGCCCGCTGCTTGTTTTAATGAAGTTTTATTAGAATACAGCGATTTCCATTTTTTATGTATTGTCTGTGGATGCTTTCATACTACAACAACAGAGTTGAATAGCTGCAACAGAAGTTCAATGGCCCACAAAGCCTAGTATATTTACTAAGTGGCCCTTTACAGGAAGCTGTTGGCCCTGCCATAACAGGTCAGCAAGAAGGAGGAAGGTATAGAGTACATGTGGAAGGTTTTTATAGGATAGGCCTGAAATGGCACGTGTAACATCCACTAGTTTTCCACTCAACCACACGTAATTATAAGGGGAATTGGGAAATATAATCTAGCTGGTGCTCCGAACAGAGGGAATTTTGGTGAATAACTGGCAGCCTCTGCCACAGCAAGTGTTCTTCATAATAACCCCAAACCAGAAATACTCTAAATATCCATCAATAGAATGGATAAAAACTCAAAAATGCATACAGTGGGACCCTATGTAGCAAAGAAAACAAACTGCAGCTACATAAATCAACACAGATAAATCTCATGGACATAATATTGAGCAAAAGAAGTCTTCAAAAGAATATATATAGTATATTTCTATTTTTATAAAGTTCAAACACAGCAAAACTAAGTCACAGTTTTGGGATACATTCATATATGGTAAAACTATAAAGAATGGAAAGGGAATAGTTATGAGAATAGTAGCTAGTTCCTGGAGGTGAGAAGAGGCTGTGATCAGGGATGGACATTGATGCTTCCAGGGGGCATTGCTGCCAGTACTTCATTTCTTGATCTGCAAAAGTGGTATACTAGTATTTTCTTTATAATTTATTTTTTATGCTAAACTGCATGTATAATATGACTGAGTGACTTTTAAAATGCAAAATAAAACAAAGGGCCCAGAAACAGAGTTTTTCCTAAACGTTGAACTCTAAGAAGTTATGTTATCATGAGATGTTGACTGATGGATGGGCAGACGTAGACCCAGCTTTATGTAAATAGGATATGCTCCATTATGTTCAATTTCATCTATGTATGCAAAAATATATGTATGTGTTTATTTACATAAATATATTCAAACATATTTATACAACTTATCACCCTCATGGATAATACTCTTATCGGCACTTTTTTTAAAGATATATTTATTTTAGAGAGACAGAGTGCATGAGCAGGGGGAGGGGTAGGAAGAAAGGGAGAGAGAGAATCTTGAGCATACTCCTCACTGAGCATGGAGCCTGATGTGGGGCTCAACCACACAACCCTAAGGTCATTAGCTGAGCTGAAACCAAGAGTCGGATGCTTAACCAACTGAGCCACCCAGGCACCACATGCACTTTTACTTTTAAAATGCATATGTTGTCTTTGTGTATGTGTGTAAGTGTATGTGTGTGTGTGTAAATAGATATGCAGTTTTATGAATATGCATAACTATGTAATTGTTGGTACACTTAATATGAAATCAAATTTTGTAGAAGGAATGAGTATAATTAAAAGCTGATATATAGCTTTCCAGAAACTTAATAAGGAATAGCACTTAGAGAATTAAGAAAAAGGAAAAACTTGTCCTATGTCTTAGACCAATCATTCTTAAGTTTTTGGGGGTCTCATACCTTTTTAGAATTTGATGAAAGTGATGGCCCCTTTCCTTAAAGAGTGAACAGGCACATATACACACATCATTGTGCCTGCAATTATGAGGGAGTCACACATTCATGAAGTATATCCATAGATTCCATAGGAGTCCCTGGACCCTCTGTTAAAATTACTTCTTTAAATTGTCCCCATCAAATGTCAGTTATCTCAACTAAACCTTTGATAGAAGTATCAGAACAGAATAAATAAGGCTATTGTTCAGGTCTTCTATAATAGTGATTGCAGAGATAATTATATTCTTTCACTACCAGGCCTTTCTTCCTCCCTCACCTTACCCACAAATCCCTCTCAGTTGTTTCAACTCCTATTTGCACATTTTAATTTCCCCTCACACCACCCAATACTCTACCCAGACAGTTATGGTAGTAATGAGCTGCTTTACCTGCCTCCGTTCTCTCTGTCCCACTCTATTCCAAATTCTGCCACAGAAGTAATCTCTCCAAAAACCAGTTTGTTTTTATTCTTTAATTGTGTTTGTTGCTGCTGTGTTTTATTTTTGAGGCCAGCTAGCACAATGTTTAAGATTAGTTTGCAGTACGAATTCAAAACCCAGCCTTGTTCTTACTAGTTGTGCGATATTGGACATGCTGCCTTACCTTTCACAGTTTCCACTTCCTTATCTATAAAATGAGGACAATAATATAATTTAAGGACTGTTGGAAGGAATAATGAGATAATGCATGTAAAGTGATTTAAAGTGATTAACAAGGTACAAGGACATAATGATGCTCAATAAATATTTCCTGAATACATTAAATATTTAGCCTTGAGGTTTTTAATTTAATGCTTTTGCTAATTCCATGCTCCTTATTCCCTCCTATCAAAATACCACCTCCTGCATCAAATCTTCTTTAATCCTACAGTCATACGTGATCTCTCCCACTTCTTAATCCCTCAGACTTTTTGTACTCTTTATTACGAGGGATAGCCTAATGGTAAAACTCTGGGATCAGATTATCTGGACATGAATATTGGCTCCATCACTTACTAGCTTTGTGGGCTTGGGCAGGTCATGTAAGTCCCTTATGGCTTATTTTGCCTATCTATAAATGAGATATAAAAATAGTATCTATTACAAAGGGTTTTTATGAGGATACATACAATTTCTAGAAATGGCAAAACTAGAGAGAGAGAGCTAGAGGAGGGATAGGAACAAAACAGACAGGGAGAAGGGGCTGGCCACAAATGAGCATGAGGGAACTTTTGGGAGTGAGGAGATATTCTAAAACCAGATTGTAAAAAGAAATGTCAATCCCATGACAAATTTTTTTAATTATTTATTTGAGAGAGAGAGCGTGCACACAGCAGGAGGGGGAGAGGGAGAGGGTGAGGGAAAGGATCGCAAGCAAACTCCTCACTGAGCACGGAGCCCTACGCAGGGCTCGACCTCACAACCCTGAGATTGTAACCTGAGCTGAAACCAAGAGTCAGACACTCAACTGACTGAGCCACCCGGGCGCCCCATTTATAACAAATATTTTTAAAACTGGGTTGTGGCCATGCTGTAAGCTATATAAATTTACTACTATTTATCAAACTGTATGCTTAAGATGGTTAAATTTTATGGTATCCAAATTATAATGAAGCTGTTTTTAAAAAAGATTAATGGTATATGGCAGAGTCCTAGAACAATACCAGGCACATACTAAACATACCATATCTGTTAGCTGTTGTCACCTTATATTGCATTGGGTTATTTATGATTCTTTACCAGATTGTTCAGAGTATCTCATATTCTTACTCTCCCATCTTCTTTACCCTCCCCTAAACTAACTCTGAGCTTAATCCTGACACCAGCCCTTGCCCATCATTAGGTACTTGGTAAATATTTACTGACTGATGCACTGTATGTACTGATGGAGTTTATGTCTCGTATGAAAATATACTGGTTTGGGTTCAGGCTCCCACAGGTTTGTGTGAACAAAGAGGACTGAACTGTGCATTTAGGTGGCTGGTCTTTTACATCTCTACATAACAGAGAACAGTCAGCATTGAGCATAGCTTTTGAACACCAAGGATCATGGTGACTGTTTTGATGCTACTCTCTGTACACAGAAGACTGTTGCTTTCTCTGGGCCTGATTTTCTCTGGTAACACCGAGAAGAGGTGCCATTCCCAGAATTAGCATACTATATTCTTGGCATTTGAGGATCTGGTATTTCCAACACACCAAAGCTGTCTTCATGTTATTTAAATAGTTACACTTTCCTCAAAGAAAGAGTAAATCTTCCCAAATAATTTCTTTAAGGAGCCTGGACAATAGTTTCCCAGGAACCAGAAGAAAATCGTGGATGAAATTCTGACAGTCTTCCAAGAAAAAGACAGGGATGTTTTGTGTTGTTTGGGAAATAATATTAAGAAGGAAAAGGAGAAGGAGAAAATTATTGTTATTAGAAATAATAATAATAGTTAGAAAACAAACAAAAACAAAAAATCTTTCTGTCCATGCCATCTTATTTAGCACTCCAGAGGAGAAAAATAATTATTAGCTGAACATTGCTTGTTAGAAAGGAACAGAGACCAAATCAGCCCTGGAAGGTGGGCATCTCTTCCAACCAGACACTTGTTTTAAGCCCAGTGTACAGTTCTTTGAAAGGAACATTCAAGATTTATGTCTGCTCTGAAAGTTTTAGGGGTAAGAGCAGTTTAACTTGGGGGCTTTGGAGGTACAAAGTGCTGGACTCAGAAGAAAGATCTTTTCTTAGAATGGTTAAAGGGAACAAAATAAAGTAATCTACCTTCTTGGGCATTTTCACAGTAAACTCAAATCAGCAGGAAGATGACAGGCCATCGCGTTTAAAAACAAAATCACTAGCCAGTCTGTTATTGCACAGAAGTACTTTTTTAAAACAAGATACTGTGGATCTCTGATGTTTACAATATCAAAACAACCCACTCAGTTTTCCAGCTGCCGTTGTTTCATTTTGGAGGGAAAAAAATAGCTTAGGGATTTTTGGAATGTCTAATATATTGCTCAGAATGGACTTTTCCATTTCCTTTTATTGAATGCCCAAATTAATTCCTTTTATTATTCATACAGGAACAGTGGCAGGCGTTAGAAAAGATGCATCCACATCTCCTATGACAACAGGAAGCCAAAAGGAACTTGTAATCACAAACCCATCAGTATTGCAGCATGACACTTCCAGGTAAGCCTCTGGGACTCTGGTTTAACATTCTTTAAATAAGAGCGTTTGGGGGGCAGAGAGTCATTTAATAAGGAGTGGAAAAGTCTTGACAATTCTTAATAGCTGTTAAGAGAGAGGCCTTATTTGGAAGCATCTAGATTTGGCCAGGTTGATCTCATGGAGCCCTTTCCTTTACACATGCCCCGCCTTAATTGAAACTGGTAATTGGCAAGAATTTACAGAGAAACACAAAGCTAATCCTATTTTTCATCAGAAAGTGTGCATAGCAGCAGGTCTTTCCCAGTTTGTCACAGAATTGTTATACACTTGGACTTTAACTAATTGAATTAATTGGTACTGAAAATTATAGTGGGTTTTGTATTACGGTTTTAAAGGACTGTCAGCATTTACTGATAACAGAGAATTTGAAGAGTTAAGAATTTGATCAGCCTTTTCTGGAGTCAGGAAGAGAAATACATTATTAAAATTTTTTCACATCCAATAAGCCACCCCTCTATTATGCATTTAAGGCTGAATATATAAACAGCAACACCAAATGGGCCTAGTTTCAGCTTCCTTGGGAATGTGCTTCTTTGAGCACTTAAATTCCCAGCATCTTCTCAGATGAATGTAGATTTTAAGACTTAATTTTAATTATAAAGAACTTTTGGGAAATAACTCTAACACAGAGGACAATAATGACTGCCATCTGTTAGGCACCTACTATGTGTCCACCCTTTGTATGGACTATCTGATTTAATCTTCATCAAAGCCTTATGAAGTGGTACTACTATCATCCGCATTTCCAAAATTAGAGAACTAAGAGATTGAGTGACTTGCCTAAGGTTGCATAGCTAATAAGAGGGAGAACTAGTGTTTCAGACTCCAAAGCCCATTTTCTTAAATACTATAATAGTTAGCAATGACAACCTCCTTATTTTGAAGGTGACCCACAATCAAAAGAAAATTTAACTAGCTTACCACATTCTTTGTCCATTACTCCTTTCTTTTATTTTTAATGCTGCGCTTATTAGCATTTTCCAAATACCCATATTGAGCTGTCGTTCTGAACTGTTGAGGGGGGCTCCCTCCTTGGACCACTCAGCATTGTGGCTGAATGCTTGTGCTCAAGGAGGATCCATCCCAGTCACCTTGAGGGCTTCCTCTGGAGAAGTTACAGGTAAAGAGGAGAAATGATCTGGATTTTCACTCTTAGTGAATTTTCCTATTGAAGATTAAAGTGAGATCTTTAACGCTACTTTAATGTGTTTTTGATGATTGCATTTCAGTTTAGAGAGAAGCATGAAAAAGAATAAAATGTTTCCCCAGTAAGAGTTTTGTAGAACATTCTCAGCACACATTTTCTGAATGGACCATATCAACTTAGTACAGTTTTACAAGCCCAGGTTAAAATTGCTGTGAAGACTCATATTTACGGACCTTAAAAAAGGGATTCTGTATCTGTTGGTTCTTAATACTGCAAATCACCTAAATATAGATTCTCAGAGGTTTCCTAAATAATGAGTACTTGGCTAAATAAAACAATGTGTAACACACTGGGTTTCATCCTTAGACGTGCATGATGGCATATTATAGGTCTATTATACAAAATGCAGAGTTGAAAAAAAGATTCAGTACTATGAAAATCAGTTATCAGGAGGGCACAGTGGTTGCTTTCCAGATTTCAGAATCAGGATTATTTGAATTATTTTTATTTCAAAGTGTAGAAAAGGCATTTTTTATAGACTACTTTTCAGTTACATGAAAACTCTTAATGCAAGACAAAACTCTGTTTATTCTTCATCCCAACAAACCTTTGAACATACTGAGAACAAGAGTAAAAGCCTATCCACCCTATATTCCAAGAATTTTCCAAACTTGCAAAAGAGGATGGGGGTGAGACAGATGCTGGTAGGAAACAGGTTTTCCTTTGTTCTCTGAAAAGCGCTAACACCTAGAAGAGTCCCATATTGTCCCACGTGCAGGTGATAAAACCAGGCGTGGCAAAGTCATCTTTCTCATTCACAATGTGGGTTGTTAATTGTTCTCTCTGCTGCCTGTCAATATAATGTGAAATTTTCATTCCCCATTCAAGATGGGAAAAGTTGTGGCTGAAAATGTTAACATTTGCATTTTTATTTGTTGATTTATTTAAAGGACAGCCTCTCCTGCAGCAATCCATCACTTGGTGACACCCCAAATATGAATAATGTATTGTAGACTTGCGGTTACAATGTGTAATAAGTGCTAGAGACAGTAAAGGAATGTTAACTATGTTGCAAATGTAATATTTATTGACTCATAAAGTTTATTGCTTTGGAGGTTCAGTAATACTGACCATAGGACATTAATATCACTTATCCTGATTTTAGCTGGGCACCTTTATATGTAGAAATATTCATCTATCTCATGTTAACAAAATAAATATGTAATTTATAGCACGAGCAAAGAGGGCTTTCTAGTTTTCTGTGCTGAGAGCTGCAGTGCTTCTTTCTCTTCATTCACGTCCGGCCTCCAGCATTGATCACACACCCCTGAGCTGTCCAAGAGAGTAAGCACAATGGTCATGTTGGTACAAGAGGGTGGAGCTGCCGAACCAGACAGTGCCATGCATTTCTGCTTGGCTGGAACAGGCAACACCTTCCAAACCCACTTCACCTGGGGCTTTTCTCCCTGTCATTCTGAACACCTGGTGGATAGGTGCACCTTTGATCAGAAAATTCAACAAATACTTCTCCTGCCATGACGCTGAGTCAGAGTTTACAGATTCTACTGGATCCTCTGGTCTCCAGGGTGAAATGAGAGCTGGTCAGGTTACCAATTAATTTGTTATGAGGACCATTGTTACTGATAATTAACTCTTCTGTACCTTCCAGAATTAGGTATGTCCATTGCCAGCAATAAAGATCATACAGGAAATATCTGACACCCAAAGCAAAAGAAGTCATGTTAATTAGCAACCATCAGCTGTAATTGTCATCCCCATTAAGATGCAGAATTATGTATTTCTTCGTTATAAATAACCTTTCTAATTGTACTTGATGTATGCCAATTTAATCAAAAAGTATACTTGTAACAGACCGATATTTGCATTAATGTAGCTTTGGATCTTCAAATCTTTTATTTCAAATTTGGGGAGAAAAAGCATATTACAGCTGTATCTCCTTTATATGTGGGTATCTTTTTCTACCCAGGTATGGAGATCTAATACATTCTATATTAAAATGAAGACGGTGTCTTCTGGGATTGTTCAGTGAAACAGAAATCTTGTCACTTTTTAAAATACCAGTGAAGTTTCTATCTCCCAGTCATATCACAACTCAGTGGTAATTGTTCCAAACTGATAAACAGAGGCAAATACCAGGCCTGCAGCAGCAGGATTATGTTCTGAGTCCCTGAAGTAAAATGTTACTAAGGTTTCTTCTCTCTGTTGTCCCCTGATGCGTAAGAGTTAAGGCTGGTACTCTTGCCCTCGTGTGTGTGTGTGTGTGTGTGTGTGTGTGTGTGTGTGTGTGTGAAGAGAGAAAAGCAGATCTTACCAAAGCATGCCCAATTACTGAATTTTGGGAACTGGTCTATAGTTGGCCTATTTCTAGGAAGTACTGCTCACCTCTCTCTACTCTAGATTTTTTCAGAAAGGTTTTTTACCACAACACAGAGTTGGAAGTTCTGCTTTTTTTTTTTTAAGATTTTTAAGATTTATTTACTTATTTTAGAAAGAGAGAGCATGTGCATGCGTGCACAGACTCCCCCGTGAGCACAGAGCAGGACATGGGGCTCGATTTCATGACTCATGAGACCATTACCCAAGCAGAAACCAAGAGTCAGACATTTAACCGCCTGAGCCACCCAGGCACCCCCAGAGTTGAAAGTTGTTGTTTTCTTTCGCTTTGTTTTTTAGACATGTTGGAGGGGTGATTTTGTGGAGCTTGCTTTTTGTTGAGGGAGGTAAGAAAATACTTAAGTATGTATTTTCAAAGGTTTAATAGCTTATTTGGGGGCTTTTTAAAAAATAGCTTAAAAAATAACTTAATTTGTTCTTTTTTTTTTTTAAAGACTATGGTCCTTTGCTGTCAAACTATATGCTTAATTGTCCTGAAAAATTTGCTGTATGTTCACAGCTTGATGAGCTCTCCGTAGTGCACATGCTTGTGCACAGTCATGCTCACAGACAACTGTGCACAGCTGATTTGAAGCTTGTAGAGACTTTCTATCCGTTAAGGTTGAGACTGAAGGACCAGGCTCAGAATATTGGAAAACTGGGACCACATTACACCAAGCCCAAGCTGGAGGGATCCAAGTACCCTGCAGTCTAGAACTTAAACTTCTCTCTGTCTTAAAAACTGTATTCTTCTATGTCTTCTTTGGAAGAATGTCTGTCTATTCAGATCCTCTGCCCATTTTTTATTCAGACTGGTTTTTTTGTTTTGTTTTTGCTATTGAGTTGTAAGAATTCCTTATATATTTTGGATATTAATATCTTATCAGATATATTTTGATCAAATTCAGTTTGTGATCATTTCCTTTACAGTTTGATGCAGTCCCATTTGTTTACTTTTGCTTTTGTTGCTTGAGCTTTTGGTATTGTATCCAAAAAATCATTTCAAAGGCCAATGTCAAGTAGCTTTTTTCCTCTTTTCTTCTAGGAATTTTACAATTCCAGATCTTATATGTAAGTCTTTAATCCATTCTCAGGGGGTTTTTTTATATCATGAAAGAGGAGAGTCCAGTCTCATTGGACTCTGGAATATCTAGTTTTCCCAGCACCATTTATTGATGAAACTACCCTTCCTGATTGTATATTCTTGGTACCCTTGTTGAAAATTCATTGACCATTTATGCTTTGATTTATCTCTGGGTTCTTAATTATGTTCCACTGGTTTGTGTGTCTGTTTTAATGGCCAGTACCATAATGTTTTGATTACTATAGCTTTGTAATATAATTTGAAATCCAGAAGTGTGATGCCTCCAACCTTGTTCTTTTTTCTCAAGATTTTAGCTATTTAGAGTCTCTTGTGGTT